TTATTTTTTTGTTTTACTTGTTTCACTGATATGCACAAAAAATTTCATCAAGATATGTTGGCTAGTTCAAGAGATATAGCGTTCTACATAGGTACAAGTTTTGAAAAAAATCGCTCAAAAATTTGGGGATGCTGTCACAAAAATCTTCATAACTTGAAAAATAATTGAAATTTTTTTATAAAAATTTTATTTTGTCGATGAAATACATTGAGGTACTTACTGTTTAAATTTAAAAAAAATCGGAGATGGTCGGGCGTGGACCATGGTTCAAGTTGACAGAGAATGACCCATATGTACAACAAACAACAACACACGTTTAAACGACATTTTCTCCGAGATCGGGGTTTGCCGTTTGGCTACCTATGATGAAACCGAAATACCCCTCGACGCCATTCACATCTGTCTCTCACCTCAGTATCACGCAACCCCGCTTTCACTCTGCACATGTCCATACCACCGCAATCTCGATCTCCTTATCAATGTCACAATGTCCTGATTCAGTCCCATCATTGACATCAGCTCTGTACTACTCCTCCTATCCTTCACTTTAACCCCACACATCATCCTCACCATAGCTCTTTCAGCCCTCTGCAGTACACTTTCCTTCTCTCTCCTCAACACCCAAGTTTCACCACCATATACTATCGCTGCTCTAACACATGCATTATATACCCTCTCTTTCATCTTCACTGACCATTTCTTTCCACACAATACTCCACCCAGTTTCCTAAATTTCATCCATCCCACACGAACTCTAGCCGTAACTGCGCTCAAACATCCTCCATCCGCGTTCAGCTTAACCCCTAAATAAACAAAGCTTTCCACTCTTTCAATACCACCACTCAACCCCGTCCTTGCGTCCGTTCTATTGATCACAACATGAACACATTTCTTACTTTTGAACCTTCCACCTTTTTCAGTGCCCCTATATATATATATATATATATATATATATATATATATATATATATATATACCAAACTTTCAAACTTAAACTTTCAAAAGCTAAAAGCTAAAAATTTGCTAGATTTTATCAAATATTGCATCAATTATGGTCTCCTTCCAGCTTTTGCAAAATTATTTTACGACCAACCGACGTAACCTAACTTCCGAGCAAGAAAGTCAACAACGGATGTTGCATCTTTCCCGTGAGTTTGAGGTTAAATATACTTTTGTGTGAGGTTAAATATACTTTAGTGGATCAAATCACATCCCAACTGACAGAACAAATTGAACTGTGGAATCTCTGCTTTGCCAGCGAGGAGATTAAAACAAACATTAGCTAGGCACTAAAATGAATTCATTACATCATTCCAACAATCAATCAAATAGCAAGTACATAAAAAAATTATTATCATTAATATTTCGAAATAGGGCCTGTACGATTTTCTAATTAATTTTAATAGATTGGATAATAATTACAATATTACTGTTAGAAATATTGAAAAGCTAAATCGTAAACTTTCAAAAGCTAAAAATTTGCTAACTCCCGGGAAAGATAAAGCAATCGCTGCTCACGTTTGAGCCCGGTTGTTAGGTTTTGTCGGTCGGTCGTAGAAGTACGCGTAAATTGTATTGTATTGTATTGCAGAATTTGTACAGCGCCTTTTGTGAGTTGACTTCAGAAGCGCTCTCTATTCTTTGCTGTTGAATGTTGAAAAAATGAGTCTTTAGCCGTTTTTTGAATTTTCTTCGACTCATGATGTTGAAATTCTTTAGATCAGCAGGCAACGCATTCCAAATCTGGGCACATGCGACTGAAAATCTTTTTCCAAAATGAGAAGATATGAACTTAAAAATGTGTAGATCAACGCGGCTTGATGATCGTAGTCGACCCCTATATTGATTCTCTGATACTGAATGAATCTGTTCCCTCAGGTAGATTGGTGCATCTCCAGTCAAACAATCTCTTACAAGTAGAGCTAGTTTAAATGTTACTCTCTCTGGCATGCGTAGCCAGTGCAGTTCATCTCTAATGAATTGGTAGATAGGATCAAACCTTGATACGCCAGCAACCAGTCTAGCAGCGGCGTTCACAACTGATTGAACATCATCTTGTAGCGAAAGGTTGATCCCATACATCATCACGTTACAAAAATCAATCCTGTTACAAATGAAACTGCACACAAGAGCTTTTGTCGAGTCAACTGTCAAATATCGTCTGATGGCTCTTAGTTTTTGTAGCTGGAAAAAACATTTCTTACCTAATTTATTTACATGACACTTCATTGAAAGGTCTGGATCCATAACCACACCTAGATTTGTCACTGGATCTTTGAACCCGTCAACCTGAAGGAGTTTATGAGGTGTTCCTAGCCACGTGTATTGCGTTTTGTTGATATTTAGCTTTAATTTATTTGCTGTCATCCATTCTCCTACTGCTTTTACAGCATCCGTGACAGTTGTAGAGAGTTGACAGGACAAGCTCGCATACCCAGATCCGTATAGTTGAATGTCGTCAGCGTACAAATGGCAACGAGCACCTGATGATTCCACAACGCTGACTACATCAGCAGTGTATAGTATATATAACAGAGGGCCAAGGACGGAGCCCTGTGGAACACCGCAGGTAATTTTTGACGTAGCTGTGTCTGCACCTTCCTCAACGTTGACAACCTGTATTCTGTCTGTCAAATAGGACTGAAACCAGCTAAGTGCGTCCCCTGTTACACCATATGAGACTGAGAGTCTTTCTAGCAAAACATCATGATCAACAGTATCAAAGGCAGTGCTAACATCCAGCAGTGCAAGCATGGCTATATTGCCCATGTCAACTGCATCACACACATCAGAAACCACTTTGAGGATCGCCGTTTCGGTAGAGTGAGCTTGCCGAAAACCTGACTGAACTTTTGGCAGTAATGAATTTTTGTTCAGGTATAAAAGAAGTTGACGAGCGACTATTCTTTCTATAATCTTTGATATAAATGTCGAGCCGATGTTGAGTTGTTGTGAAAACCGGGAGACAGCCACCTTCAAATGATACCTCAGATTTCGATTTGATGTGTTGCAAGAAATCTTGAGCTGAGGTTGACGAGACTGAAAATTTAGGAGAAATATTTTTCCCAAGCAAGGTAGACATGATGTTCCATAGCTTTCTAGGATTTTGAGAGTTTGAAACAATCATCAATTGGTAAAAATTTTTTTCTTTGTTGACGAATAACTTGTGTTTTTCACCTATCGCACTCTTCCAGCGATTGAGATCGACTGGGTTTTTTGTTGAATGATAATATTCTCTCAAATCTTCGTGTAGAACGTTTTACCTTGTAGCATTCATCATCAAACCAACCCCTGGATTTTGAGCGAACTTTAATACATTTTATAGGAGCATATTGATCTATGAATTGCCCGAAGGTGGATTCATATCAGTTGAAAAGTGTGTTTGTGTCATATCCGGAGTATGTATTTGGACAGCATAGATCACTTTTTCTAATCGAATCCCTGAATTCATCTCGTTTAATTTTCCTGTAACTCCGAAAACTCTTGAAGAGTTGCTGAGAGGGCGGTGAAACCATGACAGCCATTGAACATGAAATAAGTGCATGGTCCGAAATGACAGGAGGGTCGACTTCGACGTTGAAAATCTCGAAACATGATCTGGTGATGATGACATCCAGAAGACCACCTTTAACATGCGTTGGCGAATTAATATGTTGTTGATATCCAAACAATGATAAAAGTGCCAGAAAATCAAAACGTGGAAGTGGAAAAACGTGGAAACGGAGAATCAAAACGTGTTAGTCTAAACAAATGCCTTGGAGAATCAAAACGTGGAAGCTGAAAAGCAATATTCATTGAGAAAAATTTCAACAGATTGTCGCCACACAGTTAGACCACCAATCGCAAGCCAGTACATATTGGAGTACATACAAAACAGTTTTGATAAACGCTGCAACTACAGTTTGTGGGAAAACTGGTACAAAACACCAGCATGAATGGGACACTTGGTGGTGGAATGACAGTGTACTAAAGGCAATAGCTGAAAAGAAAGCTGGATACAAGCAATGGCAAAAATCAAAGTCTGTTGATGACCGTAAAATTTTCCGTGAGAAGAACAACTATGCAAGACGTCAAGTTGCACTGGCTCGAACAGATCAGTGCAGAGAGTGGCTCACCAAAAGCAAAGGTGAACAAATGAAATCTCTGTATCGTATAGCAAAACAAGCAAAGCGTACGAAAAAAGAAATAGTTGGTGCCTCATGTATTAAAAATGACAAAAATGAGATGGTTCTTAAACAAGATGAGATCAAGCTACAGTAGAGAAAATACTTCAACCGTCTGTTAAATGAAACAAATACAATCAATGTCAACTTTGACGCTCCACCCATCGAAGGTCCGATTCCAGACATCACTGTAGAGGAGCTTACAGAAGCTCTGAAAGCTATGAAGGATGGAAAGGCAGCAGGGCCCTCTGGACTCACAAATGACATTATCAAAGCATCTGGTACTGCAGGTATCCAAACGTTACTATAACATTGCCGTGAAATCTGGAGAAATTGCTCAATGCCGACTGAATGGAACTATAGCATGACAGTCCCGCTATACAAAAACAAAGGTTGAACTGTTCATCATATCGGAGTATACGTCTGTTAGAACACTCCCTGAAAATTGTCAAGAAAATCATTGAGAGAAGATTAACGTCGTGCATCACAATCGGAAATTATCAATTTGGTTTTCTAGCGGGGAAATCAACAATTGATGCAATTCACATCTTTCGGCAACTGCAAGAGAAGTACCTCGCAAAGCATCAACAACTATCACACATTTTTGTAGACCTTGAAAAAGCATTTGATCGAGTTCCCCTTGAAGCAATCAGGTGGAGTCTACGTCGACAACTCATTTCAGAATATCTTGTTCGATTTGTGATGGAAATGTATACAAATACTAAGACTCTTGTCAGCACAACGGTTGGAAACACAGATGCATTTGTCATCGGCGTTGGAGTTCACCAAGGCTCGATTCTCAGTCCACTGTTATTTATAACTGTGATGGAAGAAATCACAAAACCGATACGCACTGGTGACATTTGGAATCTAACACTCGCCGATCATGGATTCAAAGTCAACATCAGCAAAACCAAAGCAATGAACATTGGTGAACCTATCCAATCTACAGCTACTGGGCGATGGTCCTGTTCAGTTTATAAAGCTGGTGTAGGTAACAATTCGATCAAGTGTCAGCAGTGTAGCCAGTGGTGTCACCACTGTTTTTGAAGCCATTAAGGTAGAGAAAGTCACATCGTTTCAATATCTAGGGGATGTTCTGGATTGTACTGGAACAGCTGAAACTGCCGTTTGAGCACGCATACGTGCAGCCTGAAATAAATGGCATCTCCTTGCCTCTATATTGATGTGGCGTGACATCCCACTACCATTACGATCAAGACTTTATAAATCTGTGATACGTCCGGTGTTGTTATATGGTGCAGAAACATGGCCAATGACAACCAAAATGGAACAACAACTTCAACGAACTGACATGAAAGTGCTCCGATGGATGCAACGAATTAGTCTAAAGGACCACATCAAATCTACCGAAATCCTGCGTCGTGCTGGTTTAGATGATATAAAGGACGAATGCCAGCAACACCGTCTGCGGTGGTTTGGTCATGTCAAACGAAGTAGAAACGGTGCCATAACTTCTCTTGCAGATGTTGAAGTACCTGGCACACGTCCCAAAGGCCGTCCAAAGAAGTCCTGGTCGCAAACAATCGAGCAAGACATGAAAGCTCTAAATTTAAATGAAATGGATACAACTGATCGTCTAATTTGGCGCAAAAAGTTGATGGCAAAGGGAAAAACGTCCTACCTCGGGAAACCGGGTCTCTGGACGCAAAACGAAGATTGATTGATTGATTGATTGATAAAAGTGCCAGAAATGATGACGCATGAAGGCTTTGGGGGTCCTCAGGATGAATGTTTAGATCACCCATGATGACAATCTGACCGTTGAGAACAGCAAGAAGTTCAAGAAATTCACGAAATTCGTTGAAGAATGATTTCATGATTGGCGTTGAACCGGTCTGTATGCGACAATTATCATTATATTGATGGAGGGTTTTGGATATGTAAAGATGCATAGGTATTCAATGGTTTGTGGGCGAAAATTTAAATCCATTCGTGTAGGCTTAAAATAATCTTTAATAAGAAGAACCACACCACCACCATGAGGACCAGATAGAACAGCTGGTGTCTTTACCAGTTCCCGGGCCGCATCAAAACATTGATAGCCATCCGGTGTTGCTCGACGAAGAGATACATCTTCGGAGGTGAAATGTCTGCTTTCACTTATTACTAGAACATCAAATGTTGGAAGGAGATCATATTTTATACAGTATTGTATGAATTCTACCTAGTTGTTGAGTTTTGTTCAGTAGAATTCATACAATACTGTATAAAATATGGTCTCCTTCCAACATTTACGCGTATTTCTATAACCACCCGACAAAACCTGAGAACGTTACCGGCGATTGCTTCGTCATTCCCTGGAGCTAGAGGCAAAACAAAATCAAACAATTCGGTAGAATTCATACAATACTGTATATTATATGGTTTCCTTCCAACACACACACACACACACATATATATATATATATATATATATATATATATATATATATATATAGGGCTGGTTATAAACTACCTGAGCAATTCAATCGATTTAAAAAATTGTTGTATTTATTCTTTTATGTAATAGACAAGAATTAACATTTTTGACATTCATTGGTATTACCTATTAAATAATGCATTCAAGATTTTTTATTGTTAAATTTTCAATTAAGATAGGAAGCTTTGGAAATAAATTTGGATGAAATCTACAGTTCAGGTTGAAATGCATAAGTTTCATTTCTTTTTATCATAAGTCAACCAATTTCTACGTATATTGCAGATCTTCTAATTATTTTTTGAAAATGTTTCAGTGTGGTCACTTTTCTCATTACAAAGTTTTGTCATGAATAGATTTGGACATGCCAAAAAGGCCGGTTTGGACTTATTCATTGAGTCGAGAGACACTAGAGACCAATGAAGAAAAATACTTTAAGGTCTGTAAAAGATTCGGTTGGTCATTGACGTAAGCAGGCATGGTTTTAATATTTTGAAATTTTTCTTTTCATTCTAATCAGTTCATTCCAACTGTATATTTGTAGAATTACTTGGATGACATGTTTGGAAAGCATGCTAACGATGAATTGAGCTATGTTGAATTAAATCTGGAAACCTGGAGGCAACTATGGAGAGTTCTGGAAATGTCAGATGTCGTTCTCCTCATCACTGACATCAGACATCCGGTAGGTACCACAGTCTCAAATATTTAATTATATGTGTAGACTGTTCTCATATGTTTATTTGCCTTTGATACTGTCGATGAAATTGTATTCATTTTATTGCGTTATTTTCTCCTATAAATCAAAACATTTTTTCATTGTCCGAATGTTCTTTATTAGTTTCAAGTTATTAACACTTAAGAGTGATGGTGATATATATTCATAAGTTTTGTATTTCTTGTTTGATGTTATGGACATTAATTGAAACTTCAACACTCGACTTTTACTTTAACATTTGAATTTGTTGACGAACATGAAACCAAACAGGCTATCCACTTCCCACCTGCCTTGTACAAGCATATCAGAGAGCTGAGCAAACACGTGGTTCTTGTCTTAAACAAGATAGATCTGGCTCCTCCAAGTCTTGTTGCTGCTTGGAAATATTACTTCCTAAATAAATTTCCTGATCTGCATGTTGTTTGTTTCACATCGCTTCCAAAAGATGAGGAAGATAGAAAATTTTTGAATTCAACTTTTGAACAGAGTAAGCTTTATGATTATGTTTACAAATAATAACAATTGTTACACACTCTTGTTGCATCACTTATTGTTGCATAACTCACAAATATGAACGAGGCGCAGAGCAAGTGGGCACGCACGAATCAACTCATCATGCATTTTGAGCACGCACTAATCAACTCATCACGCAACGTGGGCACGTACAAATCAATTCGTCACGCACTCTGCGTATGCGTATGATAGGTGGAAATATCTTTGCATTCGAACGAGTCACTGCAACCCAGAACTAGGTCCTTATTTATTATACCATCTTGCCACCCAAGATAATTTTTAGCTGAAACTTTTTCATTGAAATTTATACATTGAATTATATTGATACAAAAATAAATCAATAAATGATGGGTTGTATAGATTGTTTTCACAACTTTTTCAAATTCGTTACAACTTGATTTTTCCCATAGTGACTGTACAGAAAAAGCGAATGAGAAGAAACTATACAGCCGTTGGACCAAAACAATTGTTACAAGTCTGCGAGCAAATTGTTTGTGGCAAAGGTTATTGAACATTATACTTGTAAATAATATGGTTCTGTTATGTTCAAACTAACTTTCATTTAAAAAATTAAATTGCGTTAAAGTAACGTTTGTAAAGTTTCAAATCAAATGCTTTTTGGCAGCTTTACGGTTCTCTTATGTAGCTTTTACGCATTGAAATCAATTTCTGTCTAAACAATTTTAGTCTTTTGTCATTAATAAATTAGATATAAAGAAATTTCAGTTTCAGTAAGTGATTCTATTGGAAAATCATTCAATTAGTTTTGTTAAAGAGAAAATTTCATTCTTCAAGTTGATCTTTCATCCTGGAAAGAAAAAATAGAGTTTGATGCTATGCCTAATGAATTCACTGATGAAAGCGATGATGAAAACACCGATGAGGAAGATGATAATGAGGGAAATGTTGACGGCACTCAAAAAGAGCTCGATTACGGAAAGGATGAATATGACCAACACAAGAGATATCAGTTTTGCCAAAATGATATTTTGACCATAGGTTGTTGTGGTATGTGCATTCTTTTATTTATGGAATTTTTTAATTTTGACGTTTAAATTTTTTTATTATTTAAATTTTGAATTTAGGAAGGGGTCTGGTTAGGTTACGGGTCCCTCGCTGTCAAAAGTCAACCATTTTGTTGTATATTTGTAAAAATTTAGCCAAAATAATTTGTTTAATTACTTTTTTACGTTAAAACACCACTGTAATGCAATAAAGACACCGTTCCCTGTTTAATTGGCAAAAAAAATGCACAATAATGAAAAAAATGTCGCCAAGTATTTTCAGTTTTTGGCTCCCCTAATAACATATTTATTGGAATGCAGTGCTGCTTTTTTCAAAAACAGTAAACTGCTGCCTGGTGGACGACGTAATTTCAATAACTAAATTTAAGGGCTTATAATTATTATAAAAAGACATTATTAAACAGCTTATTAAAAACGTTTGTATGTGCGTGTGTAAGTGTGTGTAATCCTTTAAAACCTATATAATTCTCAAGTGGCCCTTAAACAAAAAATGTTTTTCCCTTTTCCTTTACAATCGTTTAATCCGCTTCCAGTCATTGTCACAAAAACTATATATTTATTTATTTCGTCTGACAGGTTACCCGAATGTTGGTAAGTCTTCGGTTATCAATGGATTAGTGGGCAGGAAGGTATAACACCGTTTTTTCCATACATTTTGTTATTTATCACATTTAGAGGTTTGCTAACTTCAGAACAGAATTTAAATTATTACTAAAATGATGCATGTAGCGTATCTTTCTTTATAACTGGTTATAGTGCGCATCCGTTCGTTCACATTCATACCAACTTTTTGATCGTTTTTTCATATAATGTTAACGTTTACAATCGCGCGATTTTTTAGGTAGTCAGTGTCTCTCGAACGCCCGGTCACACTAAGTACTTCCAAACCATCTTCCTCACTAAACAAGTTAAATTGTGTGACTCACCTGGACTTGTCTTTCCATCTTTTGTCTGCAAACCAATGCAGGTGATCATAAGTTTTTTTCATCAGTTTGATAATTTTTTGTTGGTTAGTTAAGTAGTTTCGCTAATTAATGCATTCATTGTTTTACTGGTTATTTACAAAAGAAAGTATTAAATGAAAACGGTGAAATCGTGTTTCATTATTTAACTAAGCAGTTAATATAAATTATTTTCTGTGTTTTTATGACTAAGGTTTTAGCTGGCATCTACCCAATTTCTCAACTTCGCGAGCCATACACCACGGTTAGATATTTGGCAGAGAGGCTTCCACTCCCTCAAATTCTCAAGCTTAAACATCCTGACGCAAAATCAAATGAACAAGAAGCTCCGAGATGGTCGGCTTATCAGTTATGCGATGGTAAGTATGGTGTGGTACGGCGAGGAATTTTGTAGATGGGACCCGTGAGTTTTATTGGTCTATTGACATTTTTTTAAATTAAAACCGGTATTTTCAATGAAAATTAACAAAATGTTACTCTTGTGGACAACATTTATAACAATTATTTGTGTGGAGATTTACAACAACACACGTTTAGACGACATTTTTCCCGAGATCGGGGGTTGCCGTTTGGCTACCTATGATGAAACCGAAATACCCCTCGATGCCATTCACATCTGTCACTCGCCTCAGTATCACGCAACCCCGCTCTCACTCTGACCTTCTCCACCTGCTCTCTCCATCCCAATCGCGGACGACCCCTTCCTATCACTCCTTCAACCTCGAATTCAAACGCTCGTCTAATCCCGACCCTTTTATCCCTTCTCAACACTCAACTCATATGTGGAGATTTAATAAAATATAATCCTTCCGAATTATTCGCTGTAGGGTTCTGCCTTTGTAGGTATGTTACATGCAGCTTCATTTACGTTAAATTGGCATAATCAATTTCTCAGCCGCAACTAACTCTCACGGTTTCAATTGCGTATCCATTAGTTCTGAAGACTATTTGAAAGAAGCTTTCCATAGTGAAAGTGCAATTTAACTTTTTCTTAGTCAATAAATAAGTCGAATAATTGGTTATTGATCATCAGAACACTAAAATATAAAATTAAATTTATTTGAAATGAAATAAATTCTGAAGCATGGGCGGAAATGAGAGGATTTGTAACGGCGCGTGCAGCTCGTAGCGATGTGTACCGAGCAGCCAATCATCTGCTGAGGACGGCATGTGAAGGAAGAATTTGTTTGTGCATGAGACCAATGAACTACTCAAAAAACAAAGGCAAGATCATTCATTTGTAAATTTTTATTTCAGCAGTTTTCATATAACTTTGTTGCGATCAATGCTTATATATGAGGCTTGAGTTTTAGTTTTACCTCGTAAATAATCGATCAAATTAATTGCATTACAGAAGAATGGACAAATCACCCAGAGACACATGAAATTTTAAAACTTCAAGAGATGCACAAAGGAGTTACAGGCATCAAAGACGAAACTGATACTAGCAAAACTGAGGAAGACGAAGATGATGAGGAAAGCAGCAGTGACTATGATGCAAAAAATTACTGCGAAAGTTATAACCCTTACTCTCTTCTGGCTGAAGATTGAAAAACGTTGAACCTTCAAAATCATTTTTCATTGAATTTCTGTACAGAAACGTGTGGATGCCACTAACTGAATACATCAACTTGAATAAACAAATGTAACGACCGTTAATGAATTATATATTGTGCACAAAAGAACAAAATTTAACAAATATGTAAGAAATTAAATGTTTTAGTGGCTGATGTGTTGGATGTTTTATTTATCGGGAACAGATTGTGACAACCAATCAAGGTATGGAGGGTTTCCATTGTCAATCTGCCAATTAATTAAAAGTTAATGAATGCCTTTTTACTTTTGTAATAAATATTGGTGACATTCTGGTTAAGAACGAAATATCAATAAAAGTCTGGCATAAAATGTAATAAACAATACTACCTTCATACTGATAACTTCAGCAACCTCATAAGGATGATTCTCCCTTTTTTAAATTTATGACATTATATATTGAACAACAAATTTGAACCTGAAAAAAGCAAACCTGATGAATTTTGAGAGGTCGTCAATGCGAGATGTTCTTGTTTTTATAATCTGATGAATGAAAATGAATGAAAATACATACAATGTTGCAATTGTGTTTGAGCAGGCCTTACCAACAGCAATTCATTATCTTCCTCAATGTTTCCTTTCCAACTGTATCTGAAATTATAATTAAATCATTGTATTGTGACATTTATTATGAGTAAAAAACCAACATTGATTTGACTCTGGGCATCATGTTGACACATGCTGCTAATTGTTTTTCTACCAGCAGTCTGGAATTTAATGTTAAGAGATATAAATTTATGTGAATAAAAAATTAAAAGAATAATCATCATGAATAATAAACATCATCAATATTTGATCTGACCTGACCTAGCAATTTTTTGACCGACTTCTTCATTGGGAACAGTGACATAAGCCACTGAATGAGTTCCCGATAAATAGGTTGTAGCCATGGAGACTATATCTCTTCTGAACAAACTCAGCACTCCAAGCATGCAGATCTATTGCATTATATTATTGTATTATATTTTTTAGTTACCAGTGCTGTAGTCTGTATCCTACATTGGCTGCCTCATACATTAAGTGAAAAGCTCGATTTTTACAAATTATCAATTCAATATTATGATTTATTACTCTGTTAGTTAAATTATATAAGCATGTTTTTAAGTTTTACCGAAATAGTTTTGCAATAAAAGGCGGCGGTTAAGTAGAACCTACCAAACTTTTCTACAGAATATATAAAGCATATCCCAGCTTACACCACTCATTTATATAAATTAATACAAAACATATAGATGAATTAACCAAATCAGAAATCTCATATATTTCCCGGCATCTAATTTTTGTGAATAGACAGTGACAAAAGCAGTGAACACAAAAGGTAATTTAGATTTGCATAGATACATATACTTTTGTATGACAAGTTTTAATGAATTCCTACAAATAGTTGGAGTATAAGTAAAATAAAATTTTTGCACTATCTCACCTGTGATATAGAAAAAACTATAAGTTGAGTTAGTTTAGAATGTTGTAAGACATAAATATTAGACAATAAATTTTGTACTAGCAAAATTTGATCAGCTTCAATATTTCCAATTTTATAAATTTGGAAATAGGATTGTTTGGAATGGGATCTATCTGACGCTGCAGGAATAGGTAACTGTAATAGTAAGAAAAAGTTATAGAGCCAAATCCTATTTTTCTCCATTCAAATTCATGATCGGATTTAGTTAGAGAAAGTTATAAATTATAATATTCATAAAACACTTTCTTGTTCTCCGATCATCATCATCATACCCTTCCTTACCTTACCCAGCTCATGTAATGAAAAAAAAAAAATAAAACTGTGCACCTGCACAGGAGAGTTGATAAGATAAGCATGAGACACAAGGCTAGGAGGCAGGAGGTGCAGATCTTATTATATTATTAATTATTAAATTGATTTTAATACAATATCGATTATTTATTAAATAATTATATTTATATAAAATAAAAATAACAATATTTTCAATTTTTGTTTATCTTTTTAGTTTTTACTGTACTCAATAAAAAATGAATAAAATTAAATTTTTATACAATTTAAATTTAAAAGTGCAGCGTAAACAAGAAAGGTTGCTTATAAATATAATTACAAAAATTAATTCTTACAAACCAAGAATAATGACGAGAATGCAACGAAGGAGAAAGAAACATTCATGGAAAGAAATTTAAAAACACGAAGCAAGCAAAACTAAAAGTGAAACTACGTCTGTTAAGTAATCAATCGGGCCGGATAATAATATTCTTCTGGTCGCTAAGATGTTTTTATTATTCTTTGCTGCTTAATTTGAGGTTTTCTTTGATTATGGAAGATTGCTTCGAAAATTCTCATTTGGATGAAGTTCTTGTTACCATATATTATACTAGTATTGTTTTCTATAGTGTTGTTTTCAGAGGGCCACATTAACCCTTTTAGTTCAGATGGAGCTTTTTGTTCAGAGGGCCACATTAACAATTTAACAGGAGGTCGCGGATTGAATATTTGATAGTTAATTACGTATTCTAATTATTAAATAAACGTGTACCTACATAAAACTATATACATGCTATGTATGTGCATTTTATTATTGCAAAGTAATATATATTTTTTTTTTAAATTTTAATGGCAAGATTGTTTATATTATGGTGGTTAAGGTAAATATCAACGCTCAGCCGAGAAGCGCGAATTAATTTATTTAATTAACTACATATTATTAATATTATTTTGACAATATTTAAAAACGTTATTATTATTATTATTGTTAACGTTGTGGTTCTTCTTGCTTCTTGTGATGATGTTCCATTTGCAAGTGGGTTGTTGTTGTTATTGTTGATGCTGTTGTTGTTGTTGTTGATGTTGTTGTTGGTGTTGTTGATGTTGTTGTTAGGGTTGTCACTATTGATGATGTTCCAATTGCAACTGATATTTGCGCTGTGGGTTGTAGCATTGGTATCTACAGTGTTGGCACTGTTGTTGTTGTTATTGTTGATGTTGTTGTTGATGTTGTTGTTGGTGTTGTTGATGTTGTTGTTAAAGTTGTCACTATTGGTATGATTGTTGTTTACATCATCAATATTGTTGGTGATAACATTGTTATAATTATTGCTGTTGTCGTAATTGTTGTTGTTATAATTATAATGATTGTTGTTTTTATTTAGTAGTCTATTTGAAAGTAGAATGTGGTTTGACTGTACTTGAATGTTCATGGAGGGATTTTTGTTTTGTATGAAAATTGATTCAGCTATTTTCAGGTTTGTGATGTTGTTATTGCAATAAACTATTTGCGTGTTATTTAACATTTGTCGTGTTAAAGTGATGTTATGTTGTTGTTGATAATGTTGTTTAATTGCTCCATCTTGTAGATGCATGGTAGATGCTTGACAATGTGGTAGTTGTCATTCCAATATATGAAGCATTGTTGCGGTGCGAACATTCACCGACGGAGCATTTATATTCATATATTAGATGACTTTGTTGCAGTTGATTAGTTGCAGGAAGGCAATTATTTTTCATGATTAGTTGGGATGTTTTTAAATTTTGATAGTAAATTCGAAGAACAACTTTATTAATTGGATTTGACGCTACTACGTTTCTGCGTATTATTCCTTTTAAAATTCTTTCATCTTCTTTATACGTTGTCAGTAATTGCATTATTTTGATGTATATTTTGTGCATTTTCATGATATTTTTTGGTTAATCTACTTATGACTTGATCAATTTGTTTCAAAGAGTAATTATTGTCCAACGTTCCAAACAACAATGAACAGAAAGATAATGGCAATTTCACGTAGCGTCTGACTATTGAGTTAAATTGAATTGAATTGAAAAATAATTTATTTGGCAAAAGCAAAAAGCACAAGGGATCAAGATTACAACCAAATATTCTTAAAAATAAAGATACCAAACATTCTGTTCAATAAGCCTGAACCAACCCAACCGTCAACACATATCTGTAGAGATATATTTAAACGACTACAAAATATCACGTCTCCGATATTTTTTCAACAGAACAAGCAATTAATGAGCTCAAATAACTAACACCTATCATAGAAAGTTGACACATTTTATTGAAGATTTTGTATACATACTGATCGCATCAATCACAATTCCTAAGCATTCACTGATGTCAAGCGTGGCGGGGAAAAAGATGTGGAAGCTAGTCAACAAAACCAGGGGTGCAAGTAAATCATCCACAGAGTCTGGAAATCTCAAAGCAAAAGCCCTCGACAGCCACTTTGCTACCATATCAACGGACACATACTAATGAGTTTGTTCACCTCTGAAAAGCTTTTGATATTTTAGTTAGCAAGTGAGTATTCTCACTTGCTTCTAATCTAGCTTCTCTTTCTTTACCTGATAACATCTATAATCTCATAATTGCTTTTTTACTTGATGGAAAATATTCAACATATTTTCAATTCAAAACCTTCTACAACAATAACAATCAACTCCGTGTAGTTCAAGGTTCCGTTATTGTTCCCACTTACATCATAAATGCATCCACTCTTCAGCCACAACACCAGTCAAACAAAATCATAAAACACGCAGACTACAAGTATCTCATAATCTCTTTATCAAACTCAAACACCATACAATTTGAGTTGGATTCAGTGGCGCAACTAGACCAAACTTTCAGGATGGGGGGGAGCAAATAAAATAATTATATAGCATCATAAGACACAGCTTAACAAGCACTCGTTCGAAAACAAGACAAGTTAATTTTCCAGACCAGATATTATTTCGAACAATAACCGATCGTGAGATAACAACTATACATACCCATTATGCAAATGCTTTTCAATACCACTAGACCTTTGCTCATAATGCCTCAAAAAATCTTCTGAAATTTTTACACAATTCTGATGATACGACTGATATTTACGTTTGTGATTTTGGATAGGTTTTCAACAGCTTCGGTGTAAATATTTTTTAATTTTGTATGTTTTTCAGCGTTACTTGCGTCTAGAAAATCATAAAAGATGAAAAAACAATAATAACTATACTATACTTACCCAACTTACCAAAAATAATTATCTCTATAATTACAACGAACGTACGTTTGTGATAGTTGCAAAAAGCCGTTGTTTTTAATAAATTCATATTATATATATTTTAAACTAATTCTTGACCCTTGACTGAATCTTTTAATAATTTTTTTATATTTCGGGGGGCAATTGCCCCAATGCCCCCCCCAGTTGCGCCACTGGTTGGACTCACCTCTTACATGATCCAAGCAGAGCAATCTTTCACTTAATTTAAAAATCCATTTGAACTAATTATTCACAACAATCGCAAAAAAGTTATTCCTCCAGAATATCCTTCAATCATCCACACTGATAAGCTTAAAGTTCTAGGTATCACTTTCACGTCAACGCTCAGCATTACTCCCTACATCAATCAAATCATCAAGAAAGGTCTGCAGATATTGCTCACAGACTCAAGAGCATTAAACCATTCAACGCCACTAAACCTCTCATATTCACCCACATAAAATATGCTGTTCCATCTCGGTAATTATGTATGTATATATGCTGTGCAATCTTTTTTTTCTTATATGTTGTACATGAAGGAGTGAATGTATGTTACCCTTTATAAATGTAAATATTTCTGTAATTATGAACGAACAGTACAATACTGCTAATTTTGTATGTATGCTGGTTTTTCATTTGTTTTTTCCTCTTTTTTTCATTTTTTCTGTAACTATTGCTATATTTTACTTTATAGTATTTTAATTATCTTAATTTTAATCGATTTTCTTCTACTTAATGCAACTGATACATTCTATATTCATAAGTTTGTTTTTATCATTTCATACATATATATGGGTAAGATTTTCCGACCTGCTTCCGCAAGTACGAGTTCATAAAGTACACCATCTATCACCACGACCGAAAGGTGCATTACTTTGAACACCTAACTCGTTCCAGACGCGTACTCGTACTGGCCAACCGTACTTGAGAGAGCATAGTATATATATATATATATATATATATATATATATATATATATATATATATATATATATATATATATTTAGGAACGAGGTTTTCATTAATACATATTTTGTTAAATTTATTTGCCCATTTTGCATTTATCAACTTTTTTATTATGGACTCAACACAGCGTAGTTTTTGACATTCAAATTTATTTTGAAGATACCGTTATATTACATGAACCAAATGCACGACAACTACAAAGTGGATGAGACCCAACTTAAACGAATCGTTAAATCCAACATCTCCGTCTGCGACAATAACAATCAATTAAAACTCATCATATATTACAATACTAGTCGTACATCAAACCTCGTTATAAGGAATAGTCACAATCAACCAACACCTACGCTAGAGAGGACAAATGTTGTGTACCGTTTTATATGCCCTATGCCACACAGTGTTGTGGAGAGTTATATCGGTCACACACGTACTACTCTCTCTCGTAGACTTACAATGCATATACAGGACGGTGCAATAAAGAACCATATGGTTAGTGAACACCATATGCCTCTCAACAGGACCATTTTGGTTTTGAATACTACGATACTTGACACTGAAATGCATCCTGGTCGACTTAAAATCCGTGAGGCCCTGTATATCAACAAACATAAACCCACTTTAAACAAGCAATCAAGCAGTTTCGACCACATCCTACAACTATTTTCTCAATACCGGGATCAGGCTCTACTGTGTAACGTTGTACGTGAGCAACCGTACTTTCCTGTATCACCACGATATGAATATCATTCGCAGGCAGACAGCTTTCTACCGGTCAATACACAATTTATAAGTGTACGTCGGAAATCTACTACACTTACATCTTTAACTACTCTATTACAGTCTTAATTAAATTTAATTCCCATTACATAATTCATAGTACATTTATCGTATTTCATTTTATTTACTAACTTATTTATTTTAGTTTATTTTATTCCTACATACATTTTATAACCCCATAATCTTAGTTATGCATTTAATTTGTGTAGAATATACTTAGCGTTCCATAATATTTTATACTAGTGATTACACCACATTCATCACACACGTATTGTTTATTTCCTATTCTTCCAACTTTCCAGTTTATTTCATTTATTTTACCCTTTTATTAATTAGTAACTTTTATTTAATTTCATGTTTTAGTATTAAATTTATCTTTTAGGTTACATCCTTCGCAAGGTACCATTTTAACTTCACTTTCAATTCCAATTTTATTTTTAATATCTTATCTGTCATGTCCACCAAATAATTTACATAATTCGTTTAATTCTCATTTATTTTAATTAAATTTCTTATATTTCATTGGTTTTAGGTTCTGATGATGGCTACCTAGCTGAAACAACGTTGTCAGCTTCTAATATGTCACAATTTCACAATAAATATGAATGTCAAAAACTACGCTGTGTTGAGTCCATAATAAAAAAGTTGATAAATGCAAAATGGGCAAATAAATTTAAAAAAATATATATATATATATATATGTATATATATATATATATATATATATATATATATTTCAAAAATTCAACACTACTTTCAACATTGTTCAACTTTTTTATATTTTTTTTAATTTATTAATTTCAGAGAAATTAGACATTTTATTGTTTTTTAAAAATTTTTATTAAATAAATTTGCAAATAGCTATTTTGAGTTATAGATAACTCATCTTCAGTGCATTATATATAAGGTATGTAAGATATTTGATAAGAAGGAACAAGTAATTATTAATTTATATAAATTATTTAATTAAAACAGAAAACCAATAAAATAAATTTAATAACTATAAACAATATAAAACGCGATTTAACGGCAAAATTGTTTATATTATGGTTGTTAAGGTAAATAATCAATGCTCAGCCGAGAAGCGCGAATTAATTTATTTAATTAACTACATATTATTAATATTATTTTTACAATATTTAAAAACCTTATTATTATTATTGTTAACATTATTATTATTATTGTCATCGCTGTGGTTCTTCTTGCTTCTTGTGATTATGTTCCATTTGCAAGTGATATTTGCGCTGTGGGTTGTTGCGTTGGTATCTACAGTGTTGGCACTGTTGTTGTTGATGTTGTTGTTGGCGTTGTGATGTTGTTGTTGTTAGGGTTGTCACTATTGATGATGTTCCAATTGCAACTGATATTTGCGCTGAAGATGAGTTATCTATAACTCGAAATAGCTATTTGCAAATTTATTTAATAAAAATTTTTAAAAAACAATAAAATGTCTAATTTCTCTTAAATTAATAAATTAAGAAGAAATATAAAAAAGTTGAAACATTGCAATTCAACAACACCAACAACAACAATTGCCGTTAAAATTTTAAAAATCGCGTTTTATATTGTTTATAGTTATTAAATTTATTTTATTGGTTTTCTGTTTTAATTAAATTATTTATATAAATTAATAATTACTTGTTCCTTCTTATCAAATATCTTACATACCTTATATATAATGCACTGAATATGAGTTATCTATAACTCGAAATAGCTATTTGCAAATTTATTTAATAAAAATTCTTAAAAAACAATAAAATGTCTAATTTCTCTGAAATTAATAAATTAAAAAAAATATAAAATAGTTGAACAATGTTGAAAGTAGTGTTGAATTTTTGAAATGTTGCGTTAACAACAGTCTGTTACCAAAAAAAAAAAAAATATGGTATATAGTATATATTTTATTGGTTATTTTGTCTTTAAATTTCGAAATAATTTCGGATTTAATTACATTTATCGGAATTTTTTGATGTTAATATTTATTACTCAAATTTGGATTATTGTATCACAAAGAAAATGAATGAAATTAAATTTTGGTTGGATGGTTGTAATAATTTGAGTGATATTATTGTTTTTACTGAGAAAAATGCTAAACATATTATTCATAGTTATTTAGAAAAAGTTACAAACTTTACAAAGCAAATTTCATGAAAGCAAGTTATAGGGGAATTTTCTGCTACCATAAGACTGAAATAAAATCACATATGGTGGATTTGGGTATTGACTTTAAAGAATTTTTATGCATCAAGTTTTATGGACTTTTTAATTATTTTCACATTCTTTCATTTATAGAAGTCCTAGTTCAATTAAATCTAATAATAATAATGAGAACATAAGTAAAGACAGTAAAAGCGTTTTCAGTTACATGAGAAGTAAATAAAAAAGGAAAGATAAAGTGGGGTCTTTGAAGACTGATCATGGCAACATTGTAACGGAAGAAAAAGAAATGGCTGAGATGCTCAATAACTACTTTGGATCGGTGCTGACAAAAGAAAATACAAATAACATAAAGGAGCCAAAAAATTGTTTGGGGGAAGCCAAGAAAGGATGCTTACAAGTGTTTACATAACAGAAGAGATGGTTGTAGAAATACTAGGCAGTCTCAAAGAAAATAAAACTCCAGGAATGGATGAGATGCACCCAAAATTTTTAAAGGAAATAAGACATGAAGTAGGAGCCACACTGTGCGAAATATTTAATGACTCTTTAAGATCAGGAGATATACAAAAGGATTGGAAGGACGCTATCGTCACGCCATATCGAACGTAGAAGCGAAACTAGTAACCACAGACCAGTTAGTTTAACTTGCATTATATGTAAAGTATTAGAAAAAATTATCAAGAGAAATATAGTCGAGCACTTAAATTCTAACTGCATAATCAATGACAGCCAACATGGTTTTATAAAAGGACGATCCTGTCTATCTAACCTATTGGATTTTTTTGAAGATGCTTATGCTAACCTAGACCAGGATAACTCGGTAGACGTAATATATTTAGATTTTGCAAAAGCATTCGATAAGGTGCCACATAAAAGGTTATCCAAAAAGTTACAGGCATGTGGGGTAGAAGGAAATCTGCTACGATGAATAAAAAATTGGCTAAAAGATAGGGGACAACAGGTGCGGATAAAAGGAATAAACTCGAAGTGGATAGACGTAACAAGATAGGGGACTCAGGGATCGGTATTGGGAACGCTATTATTTGTGATATACATTAACGACATCGACGAAGGAATAGTCTCTAAGATTTCAAAGTTTGCAGATGATACCAAATTATGTTTGAAAGTCAACAACGATGAAGATGCAGAAATATTGCAAAAAGACCTAGCAAGACTGTACCAATGGTCCAAGGACTGGCAAATGCTTTTTAACGTTGACAAATGTGCAGTCATGCACTTAGGGAGGAAGAACGCTAGATATGAATATAAAATTGGTGAAAGAGAACTACGATCGACAGAGGAAGAAAAGGATCTAGGAATCATTGTTCATCAAAGCACAAAACCGTCAAAACAATGTACAGCTGCAGCGGCCAGAGCCAATACGATCTTGGGATTTATAAGAAGAACAATGGTCAGCAGAGAGAAGCATATCATACTGAAACTGTACAAAACCCTAGTCAGACCTCATCTGGAGTACTGTTCAAGCATGGAGCCCATATATGCAAAAGGATAAGGAAGTTTTAGAGAAAGTACAACGTAGAGCTACAAGAATGATTAGAGGAATCGGAAAAATGGAATACGATGAGAGATTGAAAAAATGCGATTTAACATCATTAAAAAAAAGATGTAGAGGAGATCTAATCCAAACATATAAATTGATCACGAACAGGGAAACAACACCATACTCGAGATTTTTCAGGCTAGTAAACAGTGATAAACTACGAGGACACAGATTTAAGATTTTCAAAAACTCGGATGGAAAAATAAAGAGCAGATTTTTCAACAGTAGAGTGGTCAACGCCTGGAACGAGCTAAGCGATGATGCAGTCTCAGCGAATTCACTCAACAGCTTCAAAGCCAAACTCGGACAGATAGCATATTAGGAGATCTAATTAGTAGTGGTTAGGGTTAATAATAATAAAAAATAATTTACTAAATCATTTGCAGGCAATTGGTGGTGTAAAAATA